CGGTGGGAAGAATGTCCCTTACATTGGGGATCAGTGGGAAGAATGTCCCTTACATTGGGGGTCAGTGGGAAGAATGTCCCCCTTACATTGGGGATCAGTGGGAAGAATGTCCCTTACATTGGGGATCAGTGGGAAGAATGTCCCTTACATTGGGGGTCAGTGGGAAGAATGTCCCTTACATTGGGGGTCAGTGGGAAGAATGTCCCTTACATTGGTGATCAGTGGGAAGAATGACCCTTACATTGGGGGTCAGTGGGAAGAATGTCCCTTACATTGGGGGTCAGTGGGAAGAATGTCCCTTACATTGGTGGTCAGTGGGAAGAATGTCCCTTACATTGGGGGGATCAGTGGGAAGAATGTCCCTTACATTGGGGGTCATTGGGAAGAATATCTCTTACATTGGTGGTCAGTGGGAAGAATGTCCCTTACATTGGGGGGGTCAGTGGGAAGAATGTCCCTTACATTGGGGGTCAGTGGGAAGAATGTCCCTTACATGGGTGATAAGTGGGAAGAACATCCCTTACATTGGGGGTCAGTGGGAAAGAATGTCCCTTACATTGGGGGTCAGTGGGAAGAATGTCCCTTACATTGGTGGCCAGTGGGAAGAATGTCCCTTACATTGGGGGTCAGTGGGAAGAATGTCCCTTACATTGGTGGTCAGTGAGAAGAATGTCTCTTACATTGGTGGTCAGTGAGAAGAATGTCCCTTACATTGGTGATCAGTGGGAAGAATGTCCCTTACATTGGGGGTCAGTGGGAAGAATGTCCCTTACATTGGGGGTCAGTGGGAAGAATGTCCCTTACATTGGTGGTCAGTGGGAAGAATGTCTCTTACATTGGTGGTCAGTGAGAAGAATGTCCCTTACATTGGTGATCAGTGGGAAGAATGTCCCTTACATTGGGGGTCAGTGGGAAGAATGTCCCTTACATTGGGGGTTAGTGGGAAGAATGTCCCTTACATTGGGGGTCAGTGGGGAAGAATGTCCCTTACATTGGGGGTCGGTGAGAAGAATGTCCCTTACATTGGGGGTTCAGTGGGAAAAATGTCCCTTACATTGGGGGTCGGTGGGAAGAATGTCCCTTACATTGGGGGTCAGTGGGAAGAATGTCCCTTACATTGGGGGTCAGTGAGAAGAATGTTCTTTACATTGGGGGTCAGTGGGAAGAATGTTCCTTACATTGGGGGGGTCAGTGGGAAGAATGTCCCTTATATTGGTGGTCAGTGAGAAGAATGTCCCTTACATTGGTGATCAGTGGGAAGAATGTCCCTTACATTGGGGGTCGGTGGGAAGAATGTCCCTTACATTGGTGGTCAGTGGGAAGAATGTCCCTTACATTGGGGGTCAGTGGGAAGAATGTCCCTTACATTGGGGGTCAGTGGGAAGAATGTCCCTTACATTGGTGGTCAGTGAGAAGAATGTCCCTTACATGGGTGATAAGTGGGAAGAACATCCCTTACATTGGGGGTCAGGGGAAGAATGTTCCTTACATTGGTGATCAGTGGGAAGAATGTCCCCTACATTGGGGGGTCAGTGGGAAGAATGTCCCTTCCATTGGGGGTCAGTGGGAAGAATGTCCCTTACATTGGGGGTCAGTGGGAAGAATGTCCCTTACATTGGTAGTCAGTGGGAAGAATGTCCCTTACATTGGGGGTCGGTGAGAAGAATGTCCCTTACATAGGGGGTCAGTGGGAAGAATGTCCCTTACATTGGTGATCAGTGGGAAGAATGTCCCTTACATTGGGGGTCAGCGGAAGAAGAATGTCCCTTACATTGGTGATCAGTGGGAAGAATGTCCCTTACATTGGGGGTCAGTGAGAAGAATGTTCTTTACATTGGGGGTCAGTGGGAAGAATGTTCCTTACATTGGGGGGGTCAGTGGGAAGAATGTCCCTTATATTGGTGGTCAGTGAGAAGAATGTCCCTTACATTGGTGATCAGTGGGAAGAATGTCCCTTACATTGGGGGTCGGTGGGAAGAATGTCCCTTACATTGGTGGTCAGTGGGAAGAATGTCCCTTACATTGGGGGGTCAGTGGGAAGAATGTCCCTTACATGGGGGGTCAGTGGGAAGAATGTCCCTTACATTTGGTGGTCAGTGAGAAGAATGTCCCTTACATGGGTGATAAGTGGGAAGAACATCCCTTACATTGGGGGTCAGTGGGAAGAATGTTCCTTACATTGGTGATCAGTGGGAAGAATGTCCCCTACATTGGGGGGTCAGTGGGAAGAATGTCCCTTCCATTGGGGGTCAGTGGGAAGAATGTCCCTTACATTGGGGGTCAGTGGGAAGAATGTCCCTTACATTGGTAGTCAGTGGGAAGAATGTCCCTTACATTGGTAGTCAGTGGGAAGAATGTCCCTTACATTGGGGGTCGGTGAGAAGAATGTCCCTTACATTGGTGATCAGTGGGAAGAATGTCCCTTACATAGGGGGTCAGCGGGAAGAATGTCCCTTACATAGGGGGTCAGTGGGAAGAATGTCCCTTACATTGGTGATCAGTGGGAAGAATGTCCCTTACATTGGGGGTCAGCGGGAAGAATGTCCCTTACATTGGTGATCAGTGGGAAGAATGTCCCTTACATTGGGGATCAGTGGGAAGAATGTCCCTTACATTGGTGATCAGTGGGAAGAATGTCCCTTACATTGGGGGTCGGTGAGAAGAATGTCTCTTACATTGGGGATCAGTGGGAAGAATGTCCCTTACATTGGGGATCAGTGGGAAGAATGTCCCTTACATTGGGGATCAGTGGGAAGAATGTCCCTTACATTGGTAGTCAGTGGGAAGAATGTCCCTTACATTGGTAGTCAGTGGGAAGAATGTCCCTTACATTGGGGGTCAGTGGGAAGAATGTCCCTTACATTGGGGATCAGTGGGAAGAATGTCCCTTACATTGGGGATCAGTGGGAAAGAATGTCCCTTACATTGGGGGTCAGTGGGAAGAATGTCCCTTACATTGGGGGTCAGTGGGAAGAATGTCCCTTACATTGGGGGTCAGTGGGAAGAATGTCCCTTACATTGGGGGTCAGTGGGAAGAATGTCCCTTACATTGGGGGTCAGTGGGAAGAATGTCCCTTACATTGGGGGGTCAGTGGGAAGAATGTCCCTTACATTGGGGGTCAGTGGGAAGAATGTCCCTTACATTGGTAGTCAGTGGGAAGAATGTCCCTTACATTGGTAGTCAGTGGGAAGAATGTCCCTTACATTGGTGGTCAGTGGGAAGAATGTCCCTTACATTGGGGGTCAGTGGGAAGATTGTCCCTTACATTGGGGGTCAGTGGGAAGAATGTCTCTCTTACAGATAGCTACAAATATCATTGGTGTCATGCTGCTGGCTCCATCAAGTGGTGTTTGACCCAAACCTATGCAGGCACCATTGGAAGGAAGGTCAATCAGTCACAGTTCAGGGAACCCTTAGCAACCTCTGAGGGAATCCTGGGTGAGAATGGTGGTCTAAGATGAGATTCCCTCCAACTTTGGTGAGATTTCTCCTTACTTCATGTCGTGTCTCCTGGACAGGAAGTGAAAGGAAAGCTCCCCAATGGGCTACAGAATAAAAAAGAATAAAGTTTTGACTTTAGATATACTTCAAGATCTCTTGGTCACCAGGATGATATTGTTATACGCAGCATTGGGGTCAGATGTGGTCGGCCACACGCCTGGTCACTCGGCTCTGTGAGAGATAACGTCCAATTGGGAACTTGCAGCCGTCTCAACCACAAATGGAACGTTTCTACGATAGTGTTAGCCCGTTCACCGCCTGGAGTCGGATCATTTTGTTTTCTCCACATATAGAAACAATTTAGGTAATTAGCGTGAATTAGATGCACCGCATTAAATGTTTTGCCTTGTTTAATTAAAGGCGACATCTGGCAGGTTCCGAGGTACTTTACATGGAAGGAGACGCGCAGCCATCAAAGCCTGGATGTAAAGAAGCGCAGATGCGTTGAAGACGGCGCGTTCCGCACACCTCGGCTGGCATTAAAGAGCTTTATGAAGGTGACAATAACCTTATGTACATACTTGGAACAGAATTGGCAGATCGGAATTCTGGGCTTTCCGGATTTGGCATTAAATGGACGCCCTTGCAATATCCTTACGACTCATGCAAAACCTGGCATTTACCTTTCTGGCATTAATAATGTTAGATATTTGGAATTCAGCTACCTCGGGCCCCTGACCGTATCTCCAATAGCGCTTTGATATTATCAGTCTGGATTAACCTGTTGCTATCCTGTCTTCAATCCGGCATGGCTTATCCTTCTTCAAAGCGTTTCCTAGTCCAGCTGAATAATGTGAGCGGATGGTAAAGGAAAGGTAATAGAGGCTCCGTGCTCCTCCAGCCCAGTGGATGGTCACATGGTCTCTGATGATGGAGTAGATCGCTCTTAGGTCAGAGCCACTAACTGGCCTGATCTGTATTGGGCGCTAAACCCAACAACAATGTAACATATTCAACTCTAATCTTCCCTTTTCCCTTGTCTTCCATTCCCCTCGCCTCAGGATGGGGAGGCATGTCCCCTCATATATTGCACTCTCATATTACCTCCCCCACCCTTCTGCTTCTCTTAATCTCTGGAGATACACTATATTGCCCAAAGTATTGGGATACCCCTCCCAATCATGTGATTCAGGTGTTCCAATCCCCTCCATATCATGTGATTCAGGTGTTCCAATCCCCTCCCAATCATGTGATTCAGGTGTTCCAATCCCCTTCATATCATGTAAATCAGGTGTTCCAATCCCATCCATATCATGTGATTCAGGTGTTACAATCCCTTCCATATCATGTGATTCAGGTGTTCCAATCCCCTCCATATCATGTGATTCAGGTGTTCCAATCCCCTCCCAATCATGTGATTCAGGTGTTCCAATCCCCTTCATATCATGTGAATCAGGTGTTCCAATCCCCTCCATATCATGTGATTCAGGTGTTCCAATCCCCTCCCAATCATGTGATTCAGGTGTTCCAATCCCCTCCATATCAGGTGATTCAGGTGTTCCAATCCCCTCCATATCATGTGATTCAGGTGTTCCAATCCCCTCCATATCATGTGATTCAGGTGTTCCAATCCCCTCCATATCATGTGAATCAGGTGTTCCAATCCCCTCCATTTCATGTGATTCAGGTGTTCCAATCCCCTCCCAGTCATGTGATTCAGGTGTTCCAATCCCCTCCATATCATGTGAATCAGGTGTTCCAATCCCCTCCATATCATGTGATTCAGGTGTTCCAATCCCCTCCCAGTCATGTGATTCAGGTGTTCCAATCCCCTCCATGGCCACAGGTGTATACAATCAAGCCCCTAGGCATGCAGGCGGCTTCTACAAACATTGGTGAAAGAATGGGTCACTCTCAGGAGCTCAGTGACTCCAAGCGTGGTCCCGTGATAGGTGGCCACCTGGGCAATAAGTCCATCCGTGACATTTCCTGGCTACTAAATATTCCACGCTCAACTGTTAGTGGGATTATAACAAAGTGGAAGCAACTGGGAACAACAGCCACTCAGCCACCAAGTGGTAGGCCACGTCACATGACAGGGTGCAAAAATGTGCACATGTGCATAGGTGCATGGCATATAATCACGCATCTTTGTGCGCGAAAGTGCACTTGCACACGCAGGGCGTGGTAATTGCTGACACTCAGTGGCCTTTATAAGGACTGCAACTCCTCACAATAATTGCTGGATTATCGTCAGCCCCCTGTTCCCGTGTTCCTCTGTGTATTCTCCTGATGATTATCTGTTACTGACCTGGCTTGACCCAGACATTCTTTGGCTCTCCTCCTGGCTCTCTACCTCAGCTTGTCTCTTGGATCTGCTCCTGCTCACTCCTGATCGATTACCAGTATATGACCTCGGCTTGATCCTGACCTTCTTTGGCTCTTCTCCTGGCTCTCTACCTCGGCTTGTCTCTCGGATCTGCTCCTACTTACTCCTGATCGATTACCTGGGTATGACCCCAGCTTGATCCTGACCTTGCTCCTGTCTGATGCTCTGTGTATGACCCGGCTTGATCCTGACCTTCTTTGGCTCTTCTCCTGGCTCTCTACCTTGGCTTGTCTCTCGGATCTGCTCTTGCTTACTTCTGATTGATTACTTGGGTATGACCCCGGCTTGATCCTGACCTTGCTCCTGTCTGATGCTCTGTGTATGACCCCAGCTTGATCCTGACCTTGCTCCTGTTTGATGCTCTGTGTATGACCCCGGCTTGATCCTGGCCTTGCTCCTGTCTGATGCTCTGTGTATGACCCCGGCTTGATCCTGGCCTTGTTCCTGCCTGATGTTCTGTGTTTGACACTGGCTCTGGCTTCTGACTTCGCTTCCTGCTTTGCCCATCCACCTGGATCCACTAGTCCTCTGGAGGACCTCCTCCTGCATCTGGTCCACCCACGGGTATCGTCTCATCAGGTGTCACCAAGCATCCATACCATTGGCAACCCGTGCTTTTTTAGGCACTGCACCTTCTGTTACCACCTTCAGGGGTGCATTGCACTCAGCTGTAAGGGGAGCCCTCTCTTCATTTCAGCCTCTGGTCAGGTATGTGACAACTGTCCTGCCTGCCTGACTATCCCATATTTATGGGTTGGCCTCACCACTCTACCAGGGCATCCAAACCTAGGATTGGTTAGAGTCCAATGAACATGCAGATTAGGTCTCCACCTCCTACCCCCACTGGCTTCTGGAAACTGCCATGGTCCTCCAGAACCAGGTGGAGGCGATAGAATCCCTACCTTTTAAGCCATCCAGCCTGCCCTGCAGTAACCTGACCTTATACACAATAAATTTACCTACACCAACCCTCGTAGCACACTAGAGGGTGCTACACTAATACCCATCTAACATTGGCAATAATGTCTCTTGTTCCTTGGCCTTCTCTACCACTACCACTCTAAAGAGGCACATTAAGTAATTATATTTTTGTTCAATGCAAAAATGGTTAACAAAAGCCCCTAAAGTTCCACGATACATAAAGAACAAAATAGATCAGCCTAAAATTAAAACCATTTTTAGGAATTTGATGAATGGACTTGAGTCCAATTGGTTGGTCTTGAGATGTAAGGCTGGTATTGGCCATGGGCTTTAAGGAAGGCAGAAAACAGCAAAAACAACTCAAATATATCAAATAATAAAAAAAAAGTCACTTTCAAGTGTTTTTTTTTTATGGTTGTAGGTTAGCGAAAAGGGGGACTCTTTGTGGGGGGAGTTTGTGGATGGGCTTCGATGTGAAAAAATATATTCAATGAAATGTCTAGTTCAAGGGCGGACTGACAACTGATGGGGCCCCCGGGCAATAGGGGATCATGGGGCCCCTGTGTCCTTGCCCAAACTCAAAAAAGCCTATTATGAAAAAAGGTACCAGGGGCATCTCATGGGGGCCCCCTACTGACCCGGGCCCTCGGGCAGTGCCCGAGTTTCCAAATGGTTAGTCTGCCCCTGGTCTAGTTTCAGAGATGTAAAAAGAACACAGCAAGAACACCTAAAAAACACATAACATGACGAAAAAGTCCCTTTTTTTGTGGGTTGGTGAGACAGATTGGGGGGGGGGGGGCAGGATTAGTACATGGACATTAACATTAAAAAGTATATTTGAAGATATTAAGGAATGCAAAAAAACAGCAAAACCTCAAACATATCAAATTAAAATAACCTTTTTTAATGTTGCGTATTAATGAGAATGATGAGGGGAAGGCTTGTAGATTGATTTCCCTGAAGGCTCCACGGCAGCACACTGGTAGGCCAACACAGATCTTGTCAGGAAAGGAAAATTGCAGCAAGTTTTGGACATTCAATTTTCTATTTTATTGTAAAAAAATATATTTGGTGATATGTCCACCTTAAGGAATACAAAAAAAAAAAAAGAAAAAACAGGAAAGAAAGTATCAAATAAAAGATGCTGCTTTAAGTGTTTTTTAAAGGTTGTAGGTTGGTGAGAGGGAAGGATAGGGTGGTGGTTGGTAGATGGACTTTATGGTGAAAAAAAATATATTTGATGATAAGTCTACTTTAAGGAGTGCAAAACAAAAAAAACAGCAAAAAAACTCAAACATATCAAATAAACCTGTACCTTTAAGTGTTTTTATTTTTAAGGTTTAGAGAGATGATTTGTCCATTTTATGGGATGCAAATAAATAAATACAGTAAAAAAAACACAAACATATCAAATTAAAAAAAAAAAAGTCTCTTAAAGTTTTTTATTTTAGGGTTGTGGGTTAGGGATTGGGGGGTGTTGTAGATTTTAATGTGAGAAAATTATATTTGGTGATATGTCCACCTTAAGGAATGCAAAGAAAACAGCCAAAAACATCCCAAACGTATAAAAAAATGCTTTAAGTGTTTTTTTTTTAGGTTGTATGTTGTTGAGAGGAATGTGGTGTGTGTGTGCGTGTGTGTGTGAAGTGTGTGTGTGTTTGTGTGTGTGTGTGTGTGTGGGGGGGGTTGTAGATGGATTTTAATGTGAAATTATTATATTTGATAATATTCCACTTTAAGAAATGTAAAAAAATTGGAAAAAAGCCCCAAACTTATCAAATTTAACATAGGCTCCTTTATTTTCATTTATTTATTTTTTTAACAGCTGTGGGTTGGTGAGAGGCATGGGGGTGGGGGTTGTAGATGGACTTCCATGTGAAAAAAAAAAAATATTGGATATGTCCACTTTAAATAATGCAAAAAATAAATAAATAAATAAACAGCAAAACACCTCAAACATATCAAACTAAAAAAAAAATGTCTCTAAGTTTTTTATTTTAGGGTTGTGGGTTAGGGATGGGGGGTGTTGTAGATTTTAATGTGAGAAAATTATATTTGGTGATATGTCCACCTTCAGGAATGCAAAGAAAACAGCAAAAAAAACATCCCAAACTTATTAAAGAAAATGCTTTCAGTGTTTTTTTTTAGGTTGTATGTTGTTGAGAGGAATGTGAAGTGTGTGTATGTGTGTGTGTGTGTGGGGGGGGTGTAGATGGATTTTAATATTTTAATGTGAAATAATTATATTTGATAATATTCCACTTTAAGAAATGTAAAAAAAATGGGAAAAAAGCCCCAAACATATCAAATTTAAAAAAAGGTCCCTTTATTTTCATTTATTTTTTTTTTTTTTAAGGCTTTGGGTTGGTGGGAGGGATGGGGGTGGGGGTTGTAGATGGACTTCCATGTGAAAAAAAAATATATTGGATATGTCCACTTTTAATAATGTGAAAAAACCCCCCAAACTAAACAAAATAAACAGCAAAACACCTCAAACATATCAAACTAAAAAAAAAATGTCTTTAAGTTTTTTTATTTTAGGGTTGTGGGTTAGGGATGGGGGGGGGGATGTTGTAGATTTTAATATGAAAAAATTATATTTGGTGATATGTCCACCTTAAGGAATGCAAAGAAAACAGCAAAAAACATCCCAAACGTATAAAAAAAATGCTTTCAGTGGTTTTTTTTTTTGTAGGTTTTATGTTGTTGAGAGGAATGTGTGTGTGTGTGTGTGTGTGTGTGTGGGGGGGGGGTTGTAGATGGATTTTAATGTGAAATAATTATATTTGATAATGTTCCACTTCAAGAAATGTAAATAAAAAAGAGAAAAACGCTCCAAATGTATCAAATTTACAATAGGCGCCTTTATTTTCATTTATTTATTTTTTAAAGGTTGTGGGTTGGTGGGAGGGATGGGGGTTGTAGATGGACTTCGATGTGAAAAAAAAATATATTGGATATGTCCACTTTAAATAATGTAAAAAGAAATAAAATAAACAGCAAAAACACCTCAAACATTTCAAACTAAAAAAAATTCTCTTTAATTTAGTTTTTTAAATTTCCGTCCACCCTTTATATTTTCAGACACTGGCAATAAATGAAAACGTGAAGGAAGAGATAAGACTCCGGCTTCATTTCATTAACATGGATGCGTTCTGGAGTTCTTTGATGTGGTTAGTAATTTACTCGGAGTTAAACGAAGAAAATGTTGTTTTTAATGAGTCACAACTTTAATCATTAAAAGTACATTAAAAAAAAAAAAAAAGAAAACCAGCCGAGACATTTGATCAATCTGGTCGTCAGAAAATGACGGGCCCCGAGGAGATGTCCACTTTGAACGCGTTCTCCGCTGTAATATTTAACAAACCAGGAAAACATTTAAATAGATCAAGTGCATAGTAAATTATCTGTTTGTAAAGTATCAACTCGAATTCAGCGGCAAATAAAGTAAGTATAGGAAATCGAAGCCCATTTAGAGCGGAGAGACAATCTCTTTAAAGTGTGTGGCCGCAAAAAAAAGTCTTCTTAATATTGGTAGAACCAGAACGGGTTATAAAATAATCCCTGATGGGTTTGTACTGCTTTATGGGGCTCTGATAGAGAGTTTGCCTTCACTTCCTGTGCGGGCGACGCGTTTCATCAAACAGGAAGTGAGTGGAAGACATTTTTTTTCTTTAACCAGTTGCCGACCGCAGATAGCAGAATGATGGCTACACTGCGGGCGGCCAGTTCTTGGAGGGCGTCATATGATGTCCTTCCAGAACGCGCTCTCCTGCGCGCCCCCCGGGGCGTGTACCCAGCGATCTCCGTGATTGCTACGGACACAGCTGCTCACGTGATGTGGTAAAAGGCCAATCACAGCG